TGAATATATTTATAAATATTTATCTATATATATACACTAATTAAAGTGTACATGTTTGGGTTATTTTTAATAACGTTAGAGTATAATATTTTTTTACATTTAGAATATTTTAGTCATCAAACCTTAGTTATACTTTTTGACATTGGGATTTTTTTGTTTGTCATTGTGCGGCACAAGTTCCTAGGGGGACGCTATAGGAAGGGACACTCGTCTTTGACCCGTCGCGTGCGGGGAAACATCCTACAAGACTCGCACGTGAAGATACCGCACAAGCTAGCATATTATTTTTTAACGTCACCGTTAAACGACTTTTCTTGTTCCTTCTAACTTTACGCGGTACAGTTACTCAAGTTTCGTGTCCATTTCCGGTGGAAAAGTTTCCCGCTGCTAACGAAAGCGCTGCTTAGCTAGCTTGTAGCTTCACAGGAAGGGGTTCGCTCACGAAATGTCCTCGTTCTTACTTGAAGTGTAACAATTTGATCAGTTTTTTTTTAGCTTCAGATTAGTCTGATGGCTCCTGCCGTTTAACTAAAATTGCATTAGTACCATTTAACTTTAATAACGCTGTTTTAACGTTTAACATTTTAGTTGGATGCGGGTTGTGTTGTATTAAATCAGCACCTTGGCGTTTAGCAGTCCAGTTATGTCAGTCTGGATGACGGACAAGGTCATGAGATGGTCCCTGCGTTTCTACCGTGGCCGGTTTCCATGGAAACAGCGCAGTTTCCTGGTGACGGCATCATTTAAGGATGCAGTGGTCTTTCCCATCCATCGATCTCAAAGGTTTTGGGGCTCAACGCAGAACCAGACATGTCTTTCCAGGAGTCTCGTCGGTGCTGTAAGGTTCCACTCGCAGGGCGGGAATCGCACCGAAGAACTTGAAGAGAACATCCACCTCCCTTCACAACTGGTGGAGCGATCAGCTGACGTCCAGCAAGACGGGACGGACTCGGACCTGAGACATGCGACCACCCCTTTCACGAAGCACCTGCAGCAATGCAGCTCGCCGGTAGACATCTTGGACTTAACCTGTAAGTACTCGCTCACGGGTCAGGAGGTCAGCAACTCCCTGAACAGCATGTGGACCTTCCTGAAGAAGATGACGGAGGAGCAGCGGCCCTACCAGTTGCAGCTAATTTACGAGCATCCCGAGCTTGACGGGTTTCTACAAAAGGCCATGAAGTCTCTTCAGCACATGCGTAACAATGACATCACATATTCCCTTTTGAGCATGATCAGCATGGGGATACCTCAGCATAGCCGCGTGGTCCAGACGTTCCTTCGAGCTTGTCAGGTTGGCAGGAACATCATCTTCTAACAAGCTAAGACAATTTTAAGCCTTTAAACTAAATCATTATATCGTCTTCCAACAGGAGAGACTTAATCACTTCGATGAGAAGAGTCTGTCCATCTTGGCTTCTTGTCTGGACCACATGGAGGACAGTCCCAATGTGGACGCACTCAAGAAGGGCTTGAGGTAATCACCGAGCCTAGACCTGTCGCGATAACAAATCAGTTAATCGCACGATAAATGAGAATTATCGACCTCGTTTTCATTTATCGACTTTATCGTTTCTTCGCGTCTCTCTCTTTCTACTGAAGACACTGGATGACAAAAGGCTCAGCTCCGGTGCTCTTCACTGACTCCTCCCTTTCTCTTTAAAATCTGCTTTAACCGTCCAAAATCGCGTTTGTGGATCGTTAAAAGCAGCTAAGCTGAGAAGCTAAGCTACGCGCTATCCCGTCTTGTCGAAGCTCCAAAATTCACGGTTGAAACATTTTCATTTTACTAAAAGCTATGTGTTACAAATGCTACGCTGAAGAGCTCAAACCACACAGAGCGTCCGCCATTTTGAGAACCGTAAAACAGGAACATGTGACAGCCCATGTCACGTCAAGGGGCCTCCCTCCCATTTTTTTTAAAGAGACACGCTGCTCACTCTCTCACTATCCATCCTTCGGTTCAAACAGTCTTATACCGCCATCCAGTGGTTAAAAAAAAAGGTGCTACACAAAAAATTTACCAACATTTCTTCTTAAATTTGACAATGATTACTAATTATTGTCAAATTTCAAACGGTATTATCGTTTATCGCAATAATTTCTGAGACGGTTAATCGTCCGGCAACATTTGTTATCGTGACAGGCCTAACCCAAGACATAAATGTGCACAATAGACGGCTTTTATTGATGTAGAAACTTTTAAATGTTGTGTTTTAGGTTGGCAGTCGTGGCTCGTCTTCCTGCGATTAAAAACGTAATGGCCCTCCAGATTTTGATGCGCCTTTTGTGGAAGGATGCCCCCAACTCCATTAAACAGAAACTAGAGGTAAGTTTAAGAATCTTGGTTTTGATTTGTTCTGATCTAAAGCTGCGTCTGTTTCACGTTGGCTGGTTTGTGTCTCAGAGTAAGGCCCTGTCGATGACGGACCAGTTCAGCACCCCTAACGCCCAGCACATGATTTCCACCATGGCCACATTGAGCTTCTACTCCAAACCGCTGTTTCATGTTTGCATTCAAAACATCAAAGGTAAAAACTCTGAAACACCTTAAAGGAAATGTCGCAAACGTCTGAACGGACACGCCGTAACATTGTTTTCTCTTCGTCCCTGGCAGAAAACCTCCATAACATCCCTTTTACCAGATTACACGACGTGCTGCAGTCCTGTAAGAAGCTTAACTACAAAGACTTGTCTCTGTTCACGGGAGTTTCAGACTACGTGTCGTCCACGTTTGACATGTGGACCAACAAACAGGTGCAGGGACAGAAACCTGTCTCATTTGTTGCGTTTTGATTGTAAGACTTAGAGTAATTGGTTTTATGAACAAACTCTCTTTCTTTGTTTTTTAGCTGCTCCATTTCCTGTCCGTGTTTGCCAACTTGCACTTTAGTCCTGTTGCCTTAATGGAGGCGTTCGCCGACAAAGTGATAGAAAAACCTGACGCCCTGACTCTTAAAGACCTCCTGTGTATCCTCAGGGTGTACTCGTCTCTGAACTTTGATCTGAAGCATCGGAGACGACAGTGAGTTTTTTTACTCTTATCAGTTGAAAGGATGTTTGGATGGATGGATGGATGGAAGGAAGGGTGGAAGGAAGGAACAAGGAGGGCAAGACACAAAAGTTAATTGCAAAAGACGCTGGCTGTTCATAGAGTTCTGTGTCCAAGCCCATTAACAGAGAGGTGAAGGGAAGGAAACGGTGTGGTAGAAAAAATATACGAGCAATAGGGATAACTGCACCCTGGAGAGGATGGTGAAACAAAACCCATTCCAAAATGTGGGGGAGATTCACAAAGAGTGGACTGCAGCTGGAGTCGGTGCTTCAAGAACCACCATGCACAGACGTATGCAAGACATGGGTTTCAGCTGTCGTATTCCTTGTGTCAAGCCACTGTGACCGGGCCGGAAACCAGACTGGAACTGTTCGTATTGGTTCAATGGGGGTGGAGTTGAGAAGCGACTGCTTTTTCCAGAATTTTAGAGATGAATGGAAGATTAGACATAGGGCGAAGATTATTGAAAATATTTGGATCCAATCCAGGCTTCTTAAGGATCGGAGTGACAAGTGCAGTTTTGAAAATGGTAGTTCCTGAAGAAAGAGAAGAGTGAATAACGGCAGAAAATACACGTCCCTTTGTTTGAAGAGGAAGAGCCGACGTCCGCTGATGACGCTCCGTGTCCAAACCGTTAATGTCTGCGCTTCTTTGCTGCTTCAGGTTCCTTGATAGCGTCAGCTGCGCCCTCGACGCCTATCTGCCCAAGATGAACGGCAAGACGTTGTTGACAGCTGCGTACAGGTTCTGTCAGCTCAATCACTTCCCACCGGCACTGCTGGAGCAGCTCCTGCAGACGAGCGTCCTGGAGCAGATTCAAGGTAAACTGGAGAAACTGGATTTCCTGCTCTAATGCAGCGTGAATGCTTAAACATGCTAAAACAGCTGAAATTAGCTAAAAGCATTCTGAAGTGTAGCTGAAATTAATGAACAAGACTAAATTAGCAGAAGAAAGCAGGAAGAACACAGGTTTGTTGAAATAGGTATAAATTAGCAGAAATTGGCACAGAAATTATGAAATTAGCTTAAAAAAAAGGCTGAAATTAGCTAAAAACATGCTGAAGTGTAGTTGAAATGAATGAACAAGGCTAAATTAGCAGAAGAAAGCAGGAAGAACACATGTTTGCTGAAATAGGTATAAATTAGCAGAAATTGGCACAGAAATTATGAAATTAGCTAAAAAAAAAAAAAAGCCGAAATTAGCTAAAAGCATGCTGAAAAAGCAGAAAGAAGCTTAACCTACCAGAATGAAGTGGAAATAGCTGAAATGAGCTAGATGGTGTAGGGCAGTGCTTCTCAATTATTTTCTGTTATGCCCCCCCAGGAAGAAGTAAACACCCCCCCCACCCCAACTCTCCGCCGCGACTGTAAATAGTATGTCTATAAAACTGTTATAAGTACACCTCAGCATAACATTCTAACATAACATAACAACAGTGTGTCCTTATTAACATTAAAGAAAAAAAGAATATAGATCAACTTACAACGAAGAATAACTTTATTAACATATATTTTTAATTTGTAACAGAAACAACTTGCAGTGCATCAATTTGCCTGAAAAAAAAAATCCTGTTTTAAACTGTAAACATTTTGCACCATTTGATACTGAAAAATAAAATATAATCAATAAATAATAATACATTCAAATTGATCAGCAACATTTTAACTCAGGAGTGTTTTACAAAACACTTTGACGTACAAAACAAAAATGAATAAAACAATTTATGCTGATTTTTAAAAAAAATCAAAATGAGGAAGTTTGGATCAATGAGCGCACTCGTCGATAAAACAAACAAAAAAAAGTCAACAGGAAATAAGAAAGAGGAGCAGGTAACTCTCTCGCTTTGAGTTTACTCTTCGTCACCTGCGTGCTGTGGGTGACAAACGTCCAGAGCATCAAAAACAGCAGCTTAACTGAGGAGATGAATTAATTTTGTTAGCCAAGAATAGACTCCTAACATTTATTAAACATCCTGAATTGCTCCCCAGGCGCTTGAATAGCTGCCCACTGCTCCACCTGGTGTATCCCAGGTGCGATGCGTTAATGCAGGGAGCCAATTTCCTCCTTGTGTGGTAACATACAATGATGACATCACATAGCACTTTATTATTATTATTATAAAATGTGGAACTAGCTGTGAAAGCTAAAAATAGCGTAAAACAGCTAAATAGTAGCTGAAATAGCAGAAAAAGTTGAACGGAGCATAACGAGCTGGAATTAGTAGACAAATGAATTAGACTGAAAGTAGCTAAAACAAAAATGCTGAAAATTAGAACCAGCGACGAACTGAAATTACCGTATTTTCTGACATAAACGTCGCTCCGCCCTATACGTCGCATCTGTTGCGCGTCACCGCTGACAACCCGGAAATGTGCGCCGGTGTTGTGCCAAAAATGGATGGGCTGCCAAATGGCGGCCGCAGGAGCGTGCACGGGAGGACTTTAACAAGAATTTAACAAGTTTAACACTTAAAAACAATTATTTGTTTGCTTGAAATTATAGTAAATGTGTGTCTCAGTCTAACTTTTGCTTAAAAAATGCACTTTAATGTTAAATTAGCTGCATTTCGCCGGGGCGGTGCAGCTGGTTTGACGTCGGTCCAAGCAGCGAGCAGAACGAAGGTGGGGAGTCTCTGGCAGGCCGGTATGGCAGGCCGGTATGGCAGGCCGGTATGGCAGGCCGGTATGGCAGGTCGGTACGGCAGGCCGGTATGGCAGGCCGATTGTATCATTAAAAACTGGTGAAGATTCTCAGTCATCCAGAAAATGGT